TTGGGGAGAGAGTTTATGATGTAATACATTACAACTACAATTAATAGTTTCTCACTACAATTATGTTTTATCTTTTCAATTATGTTATCTTTTTATTTTTTTGTATAGTTGTGATAGGACTTTTATCTTTTATTTGATTAGGATTATAGTTTCAATTTCATAATACTATTGCAAGTAGGGAATAACCTTACCTATAAATATAAGAGTACTATACAATTTTTACAAGAATCAATCATTATTTAATCAATATGAAAGCAAGTTATTCCAATATTCTTTATAGTTTATTACATACTTCTTATTACAAGAATTTCATAATGCTTCCGCACCAAAATTGGTATCAGAGCAAGGAAATTGCTTTAATCTGATAGCTGACAATGGTCCTGGTGACAGTTGAACTGTTGATGACAAACGGAGGTTCGACAAACTCGAACAACGAATCAAGAGGATCGACGAAACCCTTCATAACATCAAGCAGATGATGGTAGCGTTGAGTCTTGAAGGAGTCGCGAGCCCATGAGGAAGCAAGCTGGTAAGAATTTGCAGACTTTAACAGCTATAAATGGTGGTTGCTTCAACTATCTTAAAACACGACAATAGGTGGCTAGAGAATTTTCTTGAGTCCTTGTTAAGTTTGAATACACGCAAGTTATTAAGGATTCTATGACGATTTATGGAGAAGATATAAAAGAGTCCAGTTTGAAGTGTAAGAAGATTTTTAGAACACGATGTACCATCAACAATAAAGTATGCAAAGTGATAATAAATCATGAAAATAGTGAGAACTTGGTATCCAAAGCATTAGTGGAAGTTTTAATTTAAAGACTGAAAAATATTCATCTTCCTATCAAGTTTCACATGGTAAAAGGGGGCAAGAAATGCAATACATGGAGGTACACAAAATTTCACTTTCTCTTGGAAAAATACTACAAAGATGAGATTGTATGTAACTTAGTAGAGATGGACGATTGTCATGTACTCTGAGGACAACCATGATACTGTAATGTAGATGCCACTTACAAACGTTGAGATAATAAGTATATATTTTGATGGTATGATAAGAAGATTGTTTTGGTAGCATATGAAAAGCAATTTGTGAGTACTAGTGTAAATAATGAGAAAAAGGTCCACAAGGTAGATGATGAGGTTAAATAAGCCATAATTCAAGATAATCGAAATGTTACTATCAGTAATACTACAACAGAAAAAGAAAAGCATGTGCAAGTTGAAAACTCAAAACCTAGTGATCCCTTATACATGGAAATTAACAACAAAAATAAGCGTAAAGATGAAAAACATTCATGTGAAATTACAATTGAAAATCCCAAGATTGAGCTGCACTTTGATGATGAACTAGTTGAAGTTCAGAATTTTCCAACAAGAGATGAGAGAATTAAAATTTTCCACCACGGAGGAATCAAAGGTGAGGCGTGTCAAATTGATAATAAAAATTTTGTTGACCTTTTCTACAATTTCAGTGCCAATAAATTGCATGAGAATAAGGAAAATACTGACAATGAGGATTGAGTTTTTGTACCAATTTTTTTATATTGAAGAAAGTATCACTAGATATTATAGTAAAAGATGAAAAGTGTGAAGAATCGAAAATAACATCAATGGTTTTTATGAAGATGGACTCAAGGATGAGAAATCAAACCATGCTTCATTTATGAAGCAATATTGCATAGGGATTATCTGTGCTTCAAACAATGGAATTGGAGAATATAACATTTATCGAGCACATCAAAAAATAGAAATTCCTTCAATATCAGTACTTGAATATTTTCCTCCCGGTTGATTGATTTTCTTTTCTTCAACCAAACTCGAGGACGAGTTTTTCTTCGAGTGGAGGGGATTGATGCAGTACATCATAACTACAATTAATAGTTCCTTACTATAATTATGTTTTTATCTTTTCTAGGTGTTTATTGTCTCAATTATGTTTATCTTTTTAGTTTTCTTGTATAGTTGTGATAAGACTTTTATATTCTATTTGATTAGAATTATAGTTTAAATTAGTTTCAATTTTCTGATACTATTGGAAGTAGGAAATAATATTGTCTATATATATAAGACTATTGTACACTTTTTACAACAATTAATCATTATTCAATCAATATCAAAGCAAGTTATTCTAATATTCTTCTTAGTTTATTATATAATTCTTATTACAAGAATTTTATAACGCTTTCGCACCAGTTTATGACCATTTATTTTGGCGGCCATGGTGGTCCAGTCAATAGTGTTCAATGGTGGCACAAGCGACGGTGTTCAACGATGGTGCAGGTGATGGTATAGATGGTGGTGTAGGTGTTGTGGAAATGGTGGTTGTAGTGGTCACGGTGGTGCAATTGATTTGTTTGAGATGGTGAAATTCGTGGTGTTGATATCGGTTGTCGAGAGCCAGTGGTGGTGGTGGTCTAGTGGCTGTGGTTTGTCGAAGAAGTGTTCACAAATTATTTGGCTGATTGTAACCAATAAATTAATTAATGTATGTCCAATAAATAATATGTAACCAATATCAGCAAATAATGTGTGACCTAAAAATGTGTTATATTGTGACCAATAATTTAATAACTTGTTACTTAAAATTATTGCGACTTATTAATTTGATATTGTGTGACCATTAAAGAAGTTGACTTATAAAAAAAAAATTGTGACCAAAGAATAATATGTCAAATGTTAATTTGATAAATTTTTGATCGAGAAATAAGTTTGTGACCTATAAAATTTGTAATTTGTGACGAGTAAAAATTTATGACCAATTAATTTGATAATTTGCAACCAAATTATGCAAAATTGTGACCTCAATATGTTTAATTAATAAGATATACTTTTATTTAATTATTTCATAAATAAAATTTAATAAATGTATGATTTTTGAAGTTTTAAACCTTGTTTCTTAATTTTGAAATAACTTATACTTACTCTCTTAGATATGAAATTTTCCCAATTACATATTAAGAGCTTGTTTGTCACCTATTATTTAGAAACTAAGAGTTTTGAATAATATTTTTTGGAGAATGTGTGGTTAAAAAATAAAGAAACTTTATTGATCTGTGCATAAAATATTTTATTGTATGAATGTATGATGAAAAGTATTCCTATAGCAAATAATTTAAAATTTTTAAATGGCGACAAACAGGTGCAAAGAAATCATGGACGTCACTTAGATCAAGGAAAAAGCCAAACGACCCGTAAGGATGACCGCGCCCTCACATGCCCCAACGTGGATCCCCTAGAATAAAATAATCTCGACCTCCATGTATGTGTGTTGTGTCAACCTCGTGGTCATCCTCGCTAACACTGTAGCGCGGCTCCTCAGATCAAATGGGCATCCAGAGCCCCTTACTTGGGCTTCATTTTGACGCAAGCACATGCTAGGTGACACATATGCATGTCAACCCAATGCCTCTTTGATGAGTGAATGTGCCAACAATTTGTTTTTAGTGCATATTTTTTTATCAACACTGGACACTCCCCTCACAAGAAGATGGGAGTGTATATCGGAGTGATAATCATGGTATACAAATAATATTTTTCTACTTGATTTTGCTCGTTTCTTTTGGATTTTTCTTTTTCTTCTTTTTTTTTTTTTCAATTTAGTTCATTAGTGATTTCACATGCATATGTATCTTTTTATGGTTTTGAATTCTGGAAAATGTTGAATCTATAAATAGGCTTGAAGTTGAATGAATGCTCAACGTGAACTTAATAATGGCAATTTAATGGAAATTAATGGTTTAGATTCATATTTGTAAATTGTACAAAAATGGGTTGACTATTTCTTTCTTAAAGTTGAATAAAAATATAATACAGTGGGATCAATAGCCAACAGGACACTATTGAAATATGTAAATATAATGTTGATAGAATTGTCATAAAGTGAATCTCAATTTTTGGGGGAAAAAAGTCTTGTAATAGTGATTTTTTGGTAAAATGCGTGGTTAAAAATGAGTTGGAGGAAAAATGAGTTTTTATAGAAAGAAGATCAAATAGGGACTTAATAGATATTGTTGACTCCAAAAAGTGTTGCCAACAGATGTTGGATCCACCCGCTCACATGTGAGCGAAGGTCCTACACGCTAAAACATGTGAACGGTCTAGAACGAAAGAATCAGGGGCGTGGGAGTAGTTCAACGATGCGGGACGAGAACGTTCGGAGTCCGACGGGAAGTTCGTAACCCGATTGTTCAATAATTACCAATCAGTGCTCATGAATGTGAATGTAAATATGTATGAACTCGTATTATGTTGTAAGCTAATATGAAAGAGAGAGTAAAGTGTGGTTTCTTGTATTGATTCTTATATTAGTCCTTCAATGTTATACAAGGGAAGTATTTATAGTGTTATTTGTGAAATGGCAACCCTTAGATAATGTGGCACGTGGCCTCATCTCTTTAATTCAAACATCCAATCCTATACATCATCCTTGACTTGCTAGCTTGCTTCGCATTTATTATTTATGCAGAACCCTCATGCTAATGACAAGATTTGACATGTATACTTATGACAAACGTTTCATCAATCATTCTAACAAGATCTTTACATAGAAGATCTCTTGGGAGAAGTGATCATGGAAGATGTTCCTTCATGGTTCAGGGGCTTCTGCTTCTGCTTCTGCTTCAGCTTCAGATTCGGGACTTCTGCTACTCATGTAGTACTTCCGCTTTAGGGCTTCGACTATCTTTACAGGCCTTGGCTTGAAGGGCCTCAGATATACAAACCACCTCGACTGGAGTGCTATGTGGTTCAGATTGAGTGGGCCATAGGCCCACGTAGGTTGGCTACGTATGACAACACGTAACAGATATATGTTTTAAATATATATTTGAATTGGCCTAGTTTGGAGATGTTGTAGAAGATAGAATGGGATGACATTGCAACTAACCTGATAAGTGAAGGACGAATAGAGAAATATGTTTTTGAAAAGAAATTCCGGAATATAGGTTTTTAAATTTCTCCAATCGCATCCAATTTCAACTAAAATCGCTAGTCTTGATTAGCGACTCTAACGCATAGAAGTCGCATTTATTCATAATTAGCGATTTCGTTCCAAAAATATCGGCACTCCCAACTGTCAACTCCAACAACTTGAATTGGGGCTCTCCGTTAATCCTCTCCTGTCATAAATCATTTCAGTTTATAGCCATTCTTAATTATTGATATTCTTGTTCGGGAAAACTAGCCGCTAACTATTGCTATTGGAATAATTTGCGAGGTGATGATATCGCCTCTTATACGTCGCCCACAAAGTGTTTGATCATATGTCCAACTGGAACTTTGTGGGACTTATTATCGAACCTTGATAAGTATTCGCAAATGACACCATTATTGGCTCCACCGGGTGCCATTCAATCCCAAATTCATGCAACACTGTTTGTTTCACTTCAATCCCATCTCATCCCACCATTGCCCATCACCATAAAACGAAACAATTGTCCTAAAAACAAAAAGTCTTCGCTTTCTGCTCCTGTAGCTATTACATGTTCTTCATCTTCTCACAAACTAGTCCGTGATCCAAGGTTGGACAAGCATGTTGTAAAGCAAAACAAGATACGGTTTGTTCAGAAGCTCAAGACTCTCCTCCTTTCCAAGCCTAAACACTTTATGCCCATCCAAATTCTCTACAAATGCCGTGCTTACTTGTCATTGCCTAGTCCACGTTCTATCATATCGATGATCCGTCGTTACCCCACCATTTTCGAGCTCTTCTCAGTCCCGACTCCTCCCACACCGTTCAATGCCACTGGACCGTTATCCCAACTCTGTGTTCGCCTTACCCCAGCTGCTACAGCTCTTGCAAAAAAAGAAATCAATCTTAAGAAACGTATGTCCATTTCTTTGGCCAAAAAGCTCCAAAAGCTTCTAATGCTCGCCTCACCACACAACAGGCTTTTGTTGTCCAAGCTTGTTCATTTGGCTCCTGACCTTGGCATGCCCGTTAACTTCCGTTCTCGCCTTTGTAATGATCATCCAGATAAATTTAAGGTCGTGGATACTTCTTATGGACGTGCACTTGAGCTTGTTTCGTGGGATAATGAACTGGCTAAGTGTTTACCCTCGCATGATGAAGTAGAGGCACTTGGATTGATAGTAGACAGGCCGTTGAAATTTAAGCATTTAAGACTTCGTAAGGGACTTAACATCAAGAGGCGTCATCATGATTATCTCATAAAGTTCAAGGAAATCCAAGATGTGTGTCCGTACAAGACTAAAGCAGGAGATTTTTTAAAAGAATCCATTGAAGCGGAGAAGCGGGCTTGTGCTTTGGTGAGAGAAGTATTGGGAATGACAGTCGAGAAGAGAACATTGGTGGACCATTTGACACATTTCAGGAAGGAGTTTGGATTGCCGAATAAGTTAAGAGGAATGTTAGTGAGGCACCCGGAGTTGTTTTACGTGAGCTTAAAGGGGCTAAGGGACTCTGTCTTTCTGGTGGAGGGATATGATGATAAGGGAGCACTTTTGGAGAAGGATGAGATATTGGCTATAAAAGATCAGCTGATGGAGCTGGTTAGGGAAGGGAAGAAATTGAGAAGAGAGAAGAGAAAGGAGTATCTTTCAGTTGATGTCTCGAAAAGTAATGCTAGTCAATTGAACGATGAAGTTGATGATGACAAATATGATGATTACGATGATGGTTTAGATGATCTATTCCAATTTGAGGATTTCAGTTCCGAGGATGACTTAGATGATAATGACAGTCAAGAGTCAATAAGGTGGAACAAGAAAGGTGAGTTTTGGACAGCCGAGACAACTTTTGTTTTAGAAAATGAGACTGGCTTAGGTTCCGAACCTTGGTAGGAACATCAGATGAACATAACTTGGATTAGCTAAGAGTATTTGTTTTTGGGTGTTGTGATCTATCAAAGGAGATGCTTATTCTATCAAATATCAAGCCGACCTCTCCGCAGATTAGGTATATGACGAAGAAAAAATTAGTTGGAGGTTATTAAGACATCAAACTGATATTCGAGCCATTACTTGTCATGTGAGCCCTAAAACTCCATGGCACACAGCAGCATTCTATGCGTTGAATTGGCAGAATTCATTGCCAAACTCGTATAGCATGCAGTATGATGCATAATGTGGTGAACTGGATGCACTGGGTAAGCGTTGTGCATGTAAATTGTCAAATTTTAGAACTCGAAGATTAACAGTTAAAATAACAAAAATGTTACTTATAGTGATGTGTTTAATAAGTTTCTTCAACACCCCCCTACTCCCGCCCCCCACACCCCTTGAGAAATAAAAATCTAAGCAATCGAAAACAAAAAAACTTGAACTAGCCTATTTTAAAGGATATTAAAGAATCAATTAAAAGGAAAGTTAATTTTTTATTAAAACTTAAATTAAAAATTTTTAGTTGTTTCAAAAAATCTTGAAACAGAGGAATGATGATAGCAATAATATTGAAATGATCAAAATAAATTGAATGGAGTTCGATAATTGGTGAGCAAATGATTGATTCGCATATTTGCAATAATTCAGGAAATTGATCAATATTATTAGATTTGGAATTGAAATAAAGCGTCTTTGATGTTAACTTTAAACCTTTCTAAAACTGAGTTAATTAAATCAATGCTCATTGAACTTCATCTTAGATTACTACTTGCTTGGGGTGACTCTTTGTTGGCAAGTACGTGTTTATTATGAAAATTGTGATTAATTCTATGTTGATTGTAATTGATTGTGACTTGATCACATATCGTCACAGTTAATACTGATTTGGTTACAGTCACGCTGAATACAAATTTGATTACAATTAATCACATTGAATACAAACTTGGTCACGGTTAATCACAGATAGCACATGTCAGTGACTTGGTTATATACGGAGACTTGAAATTTTTCTGGATGGATGTGGTAGGGTGGGTTGTTGTGGGGATGGTATAATGGTTTCATAAGATGGGATGTAACCTCCAGTTTTTTTTTTTTTTTTTGGAAATTTCTTGGGAGGTCGGGGTGGGGTAGGTGGTTCCGTAAGGTGGGATGTGATTCCAATTTTTAATTTTTGGAAATTTTTTGGGATGTAGGGATAGGTTGCATGGGGTGGGGTGGGATTTCTAGAAAGGGTTTTCAAGTTCTGAAAATTTTGTACTGGTAGGATTGGGTTGGATGGGTAGAGAGGGGTGGCCTGAGGTGGGGCATATGGTGGTGGAGAAGGGTGGGGATAATTAATTTCAATTAATTATATATTATATATATTATTAATTAGAATTAATATATGAATTTTGAAATAATTTGACAAGTTCGTTAATTTTGAAATGCGAATTTTTTATATAAGAATTATGTATTGGTCCTTTAAAAAGGGTAAGTTTCAAAAACCTTCCTTATGGCTAATGATATTTTCAAAAACATTTTCTAAAAGTATAATGAGCAATGAAAAACATTTTTTTATGTGGTAAAGGTGATGTGATGCCAACTGAACATTTCGTCGACCACGTCATCACTTCAGTTAGAGGTTATAAACGAAAGTTAAGCTAATGAGTAACATCCACTGTTTGGATAAGTTCATCAGTCAAATTTTAATATTTTTAACTTTAGTAAACAATTGAAAATATAGATATAAGTTCAATGATTATTGGGACAATTAACTAAATTCGGATCATGCTACATGTACAAACTCCTTACTCACTACTCAAAATTGAGATGTGGACCACAAGTCGACATTTTTTAAATTCACGCAGGGTCCGCTAATTTTGTCAGAGTGGGTATACTATTTTGTCAACAAAATTTTGTACAAATATCTTTATCCAACTCAAAAATACCATACCTCAACTCGTCACGTATTAGCCTTCACAAACCTACGTCGATTATTATACTTATTTTATTATTTTAAAGTTAAATTATATTAAAAATTAAAGTAAATGAAATGGTAAACGAGGATATTTTAAATACCATTCGCCCCACCTTAACCTTGCCCCATCCCACATATATAAAAGTGCGAATGAATGGGTTCGACACATGTCAAAATTATACATCATTATGTATAGATTTCCCTCTTTCATTTTCAGTTTTTTTTACACAAAATTAATAAAATCACGATTTTTCAACACGGTCATACCTTCACATTTTCTTAATTCAAGTCAATCTGACAAAGAAACACCCTTTTTCCATTTTCCTATACTACCAACCATGCCTCTTCAAAAAATCCGCCATTCCAAACGAGATGGCTCTTAAAGAAAGCATCAACGAAATTGTCGAAAGCTTGTAGGAGAAGAATTTTTTCCGTGCACGTCTGTAAGTTAACTGTCCGGTGTTATGGTTATCCAAAAATTTACAGAATAATACATAAAATGTTGTTTATCAATCACTAAGTGTGTGTTGTGTGTGATTCGTCATCTGATTTTGAATTAATCACCATTTTTCTTAAATTTTTATTCAATTATCGTGTTTCGTTTTAAGTTTGCATAAATGGGCATGATATTTGTTTTGTTCAAAGATAGCTCTGAGATGATGGTGAATTGTAGCTTTTGAGATAATTTTGTAAGAACTATACTATTGAGATTAATTTATCTTACGTAGAAATTATTCAACGGCGAGAAATGTTTGTAAATTTCACACTTGCTTTCGTATTAAAGGGATATAGAAGGCCAATCTCGAAGATTGAATAGTGATTATTGGACAAGAGTAGGAGAAAATGGTAGACCGTGTTGGTTTTGGGTGGACTCAAAGAGAGAGATTCATTTGGGGTAAAATTCGTCGATAGAGTAATTAGTCCAATAACCAGGTTTGTGCACTTCTCCCACTTCATTTTAAATTTTAAAATCTCTTTTTGCTTACATATTTCATGGAAAAACATGTGTCTTCTTAGATCTAGAAATGATGGAAATTTTGTGAATTTTGTACATGTTTTATTAGGTAGATCGGATGAACAATGTTGAGAAAGGAAAAAATAATTTATAATCTTGTTTATGTACAATGGCGTTTTGTAGGATTTAGAGCATTGCGCTGGTCCGTGCTGCGTGGAGAGTGACGCAGCACTCTCCGTGCAACACGGATCACTGGCACTCTCTGTGCACAGAGAGTGCACTTTGTGCTGCACGGAGTATGCAAGATTTTTGGAGATTTCTTTTTTAGATTAATTGTAATTTTCATTTACAAATTTATAAATGGATTAATTTGTTGTAATCTCGCGCTAAGTGGAGTCCTTAAAATACATCAAATTACAATCACTACAAATGGAAAATTTCTCCATGGTCCATCCTGGATCCCACGGACATCAGAGATTTTATTTTTCATTTTTCTTTTTCTGTTTTTTTCATTTATTTTTCTTTTTTTAATTTGTTTTGTTCATGTTATAAATAATTTTTTTCGATTTAATATTCTTTTTAATTCTTTTCTCTTAATAATAAACTTAATTTTTCAATTTTAATTAAATAATTTTTATATATTCTTTATTTAATTTTCGTAACTTTCTTTTGTTTAATTTGTTTTATTTTTATTATATATTTTTTGAAATTTGTTTTAAAATTTCATTTGTCTTCATATTATAAATATTTTCTTTGATTTAAAATTCTTTTTAATTTTTTTGTTTTATCATAAAACATAATTTTTTTCAATTTCATTTAAAAAATAATATTTATTTTTAATTTTCATTATTTCAATTTAATTAAAAAAGTTCATAATAATATTTTTTTTGTTTGCAATTCTTTTTTTCGTTCTTTAATTTGTTAAATTATTTAGTTTCTTTTCTTTATAGGTATTGGATTGGATGAAGTGAAGTGGTGTGTGAAATGGAGAAATATTGCAATGGAAGAGATGGTTGCAGTAAAGTGAATGTGAAAATGGAGAAATAATTGAAGACAACACGACGTAGTTTTTGCTCTCGTGATAAAAAATGAAATTCTTTTCTATTTATATGATAAAACTTAATTTTTTTCAATTTCAATTAAATAAGATTTATATATTCTTTATTTATTTTTCGTAACTTTCTTTTATTTAATTTGTTTTGTTTTTATTATATTTTTTGAAAATTGTTTTAAATTTTCATTTTTCTTCATATTATATATAATTTTTTGTTCAATTTAAAATCTCTTTTTAATTAAACTTTAAAAAGTTTGAAGAGGTTTTCTTCATTTATGGTTATGCCATGTTTACATTATTTTCTAATATTCTAATGACATTTTTGCAATCTTACAGTTAAGCTCCAATGACAACAAAATCAGGTCATTGGAAGAAAATTAATACTTGAAATTGCATATAACATTTAAGCTATAATTTAAAATTCTGTATGGTGCCTGTCGACATGAAAAACCATTTTTAATGCAACAGTGTAGATATTGTTATGTTATATATCTTGATGATATTTAATTATTATAATCATAGTATGGATTAGGGACAAAGCTTGAGTGGGCTAAATCATATTTTAGGCTCAGCTAATATATATAGAAAAATATATTCCGCATAAAAAAAAATTCTACAAGATTTTGTACATGGAAATGCCTTGTACAAATATATGCAAATTCTCAAATGTTCGTATGAAGAATAAAAAAATATATAGAGATAATTGACGAAAAATAAGTCAATTTCAACAAATTTATGAATACTTTTCAAATTTATAAATGATTTTTTCTAAAATTTACATAAATTTATTTTAAACATTAACCAATTAATATGTAACGCACATTCACTCACTAGTTATCTAAAAACTTTGATAGAGTGAGGGACGGCCACCTTAACCGGTCGTCCCATGAGCATCCCAATAATTGCTATGAATGCAAAAAATAAAGATAAAATAAGATATAATTTTCTTAGATATTATTATATATTATAAATATTCTATGATAAAATAAGAAATAAAAATACACTTTTGGCCAACAATGGGATTCATTTTTTAAAAATAAACCTTATGGGATATATTTGTAATTTTTGAAATAAGATGGGTATCTGTAGAAGGGTGATTGCATTGACCCCACGATGTTAATTTGTTGCCCCCACATTTTTATTGTACTTATATTTGTCATCTTTGTTTGTTGTAGTGTATCTCTAATTTTTTATTTTTTTTTTTAGTTTATAATCTTATTTTCAACTTCCCATTAATGAATAGATTTTGTTCGGATGATAATTTTTGTCAAAATGTTTTATTTTCATTCTTAAATTAGGAAAATATATTTATAGCATTTTTGTATTAATTTATTTTATAAAAATATGATGGAAAGTAAGATGTTTTATGCCCTTCGACATATTTTTGGATAGAAATGCAATGAAAAATTGAGGATAAGAATGATATGAAAAATTTCAGGAATATAAGTACTCTAATGAATAAAGATCGAAAACTTTAAGTATTTGAATGTAATTAAAATGTGCTGAAAAAATAAAAACATAAATATAATTACCCTCCCTAGAATTGTATTTTATTTCTAATAAATTCTACTTTTAAGACGCTTCTTATATTTCACTTTTCACAAGCATTAATATTTCATCGGGTACTTTTTAGTTTGGCCCAGTCAAACTAATCATTTTTCACATTGACCAATTTTTTTTGTCATTCATCACAATGGCCTTTTGAAGTTTACATGACGTTTTTACACATATTATGTTTTGTAATTACAAAAATATCTTACTGTTCAAAAAACAATAATACCTTTTTTAAGTTATAAATAAATTCAAACATTTTCCACTTGAATTTTAAAACCAAATCAGTTTCTCCAACACAGATATAAAAAAATCGTTTTAGTTAGATAAAAAAAATCCAAACCCTTTTTTTAATTTCATTTTAGTTAAATTAGTATATTGTTCGAATATTTAAATCTTATTTCGAGGTAGACAGATAATTTTCTACAATCTTAAAAGGATTTATACTTTTTTAAGCAAAAACGAGAAAAAATTTCATCTGCATGCATATTATTTCAGAAAAAATTCATGGTCGTCTATGAAATCGTCAAATAAAGCAGATGGGCACAATAACGGCCGGCTTGGATAATTTTTTTTAAATGCTGTGTAGTTAAATAAATATTAATTAAATAATTGAAATAATAAATAACTAATTGAAATGAATTAAATGATTAATTAAATATTAAACAAATAATACACATAAACAATTCAAATAATTATTTAAAAATCCAATAAACAATTAAAAAGGATTTGAAATAAATAAATTAAAATAAAATAAATAATTAAAATAAATAATTGAATAGAGTAAATAAATAGTATAAAAATAATTAAAATAATTGATGAAATATTTAAAAAAATGAAACTAAATATGAAATAAACAATTAAAATAAGTAATTGAAATAAATAAATTAAATAACTAATTAAATACTAAGCCCTTGTTTAAGCCCAATTATTTCTATCAAAAGATATTCTTCAACAGTGATTTAACTCCATTTCAATCACATATTTTTTATTAAAATAATATTAGACGCAAATCTAAAAATTTTCTTTATTTTTTAACCACACATTTCTCATCAATACACTATTCAAAATTACATTTTTTTGGCAAGATATAGCTCAAACAAGGGCTAAGTAAATAATATACATCAACAAATTAAAATGTATGTGTACAAGAAAAGTATGTGTGGAAGATAAACTCCAGTGGTTATGCATTCAGGATTTCCACCACACACCTTATGCAGTGTTTATTACATGACTGATTATTGGAGATCAGCGTATGTCGAAACAATATTTCATGTACCAAACGAAGCCAAGAGGGAAATTATTGACCACATTCTCTATCTAAATAATTTGTTGCCACCAAAAGTCGGACCACGTACTCCTGGACGTAGACGTACGTCTAAAATACCATCTATCATAATAAGACATGATATTTAATTATTTATTTTAAAGACCTACTTAAATAAAAAAATAATATTTAATTTAATTTATTCTTTTTTATATTTCATTAATTAATTATCTTAATTGGTTATGTATATTATTTATTTAATATTTGATCACTTTATCCAATCACTTATTTGAATAGAAAATTAAAATTTAATTTAATTTATTCTTTATATATTTCATTAATTAATTATCTTAATTGGTTCTTGTGATGACACCTCAGTATGCTCTCCAACATAAACACAATTTGTCAGGCATATCGTTGCATTCCTTGAATACGTCTCCTAACTATGCCAAAGTTACCGTCGGAAGTAGGATCGACGTAATATATTTGCGTGCTTTTCATCCAACAAATCTAAGACTAATACGAAGTTGACAAAGTTATAATTCGATGTAACTTTGTTGGGAATTTGTCACATGGTGGAGTCCAAATGGTAATCCATCCTGTAAAATTTTAAATGTTAGGATTTTGTGCAAAAGACAATGGATGAAGCATAATATTTGAAAATTAAATTGCTTATTGAATATTTAATTGTTAATTATTTATTTAAATTGTTTATTTACTTATTTAAATTATTATTTAAAATGTGTATTTTAATTATTTAGTTGTGTATTTAATATTTATTTTACTTGTTAATTGAATGTTTAATTGTTTATTTTAAATGTAAATTATTTATTTCAATTTTTTATTTAATATTTAATTACTTATTTTTATTATTTATAGTTATGGTTCATTTAAATTATTTATTCAATACTTAAATGTTAATTATTTATTGAAATTGTTTATTTAATATTTAATTACTTATTTAAATTACTTATTTTTATTATTTATATTTATTGTTCATTTAAATTATTTATTTAATATTTAAATGCTAATTATTTATTTCAATCGTTTGTTTAAATTATTTATTTAATATTTAATTACTTACATAAATTATTTTTTATTATTTATGTTAATTAATTATTTTTATTGCTTAACTAATATTTAATTTACTCGTTTATTGAATTCTAATTATTTAAATTATTTTATTAATATTTATTTCAATTAGTTTATTATTTCAATTAGTAATTTATTATTTACTTAAATAAACAATTAACATAATTCATGAAATATTTAAATAAACAAATAAAGTGTAAAATAAATAATTATATATTAAAAAAATAACGTACATAAACAATTAAAGTAATCACTTAAATATTTAAATAAACAATTAAATTAAATATTGATTTATTAAATTATTTATTTAATATTAAATAAATTTTTATTTAAATCATTTATTATTTTAATTGGTTATGTATATTGTTTGTTTAATATTTAATTACTCCATTTAATTAATTATTTTAATTACTTAATTTTAATTGTTTATTTCATATTTATTTACTTTATTTCATTATTTATATTAATTTCTTATTTATTTTAATTGTTTATTATATTTATTTAAATTGTTTATTTCATTATTTAAATAAAATGAAATAAAAAATTTAATTATTTTACTTAAATAAACAATTTACATAATTCATGAAATATTTATAAACAATTAAATTCAATATTTAAAAAAATGGCTGGGCTTGTAGGCCCAATGTATGGGTATGCTAGCTGTCTGGCTCATCTTGATCTAGACGGTGACATCGTTGCTGCCTACTTTATCGCAGGCACTGGAAAAAATAGTAGAGATTGCCATTTTCGACGATCTCTACTACCGAAACAAGTCACAATTCACTTTTTATGCATACAATGATCATATACTATTATTTTTGCATACATTTTTGAACAAATTCAAGAATAAGCATGATTTATTTGAAAAATTGATTATCCACAATGGTTGCAAGAAAATTTCCAATTTCATTGGCTTTTGATCGGCGTCAAGTGATGATCAGCATCTGGAGGTCGATTTCTCTCCTTTTTTCGACGTCTAGATTCCAATCAAATGAACAGTGTATTTTCTCTCTTTTTCTTTTTTTAAGTTTGGAGGCTATAAATGGACTTCATTGATTTTTAAAGTTCTAAACATTTTTGCATTTTTCATTTTTTTTTTAAAGGCCAGATGGCTGGCCATCTTCTACTAATTCCTCATATTTCAGAAGTACAACTTAAGGGGCTTAAAGTGTTTTTGAAAGAGTACCATACTTTAATTTGTCAATCTGTAATCCCTATGGTTTCGCGAGAGCCACCGAGCGATCGTTGACAGTTGATTATTGGCAATATAATGAGTCTCACTGAATTTGCGATGGTCAGTTAATTCCTAACAAAATTCGATTTGCTGCTTTCATTTGATTTTTCTTTTTTATTTATTTTATATTTCTCTTTTACCCCTTTGTCTGTATTTCACGTGGATGAATTTGGAAAGGGGAAAGCGACGGCGAATTGAAATTTAGATTATAATTTATTTCTTTACACCTATTTGGTAGTAATTTTTCACCTTAAAAAATCAATTTTTTCCAGTTATTTCACTATTCCAACCATATTTTAACTTCTTCATACAAAGGCAGGACCCACTTTTTCCCTCAAACGGTTAAAAAATCAATTCTCATAATTACTACATAACAACCATTAGTTTATGCAGTTTCTGTAATTAACTTGAATTTGCTTGTCTTCTTAGAGAAATTAGTTTGGCCCTGCTTGAATCTTTATGTTTCGCGTGGGTTAGTCGCTAACAATTAAAAGGGATCAGACGATTGTGTAAGGGACAAACCTCTTGAGACAAA